TTTCCCTCTCCAAAGACCACCACGAGGAGACAGGGAGGGTGGAAGAGGCCTGTAAGCAAACTGAGAGTATTTCAGGTAAAAGGTTCTCCAAATAAGGACCAGAATAAAATATGCCAAACCAAGCCAAACGAGGAGCAGAGGAAGAGCTTTCATTTTCATTCATTAGGAAAAAAAGAGTACTTCTGAGCCTCCCCGTGGTAGTTAGGGACACAACCTTAACCTAGTGCCAAATTCCGTTGTCTCTTCTCTTTGTTTGTTTCCCATCTTTTCCTATTTTTTAGTCTTGTTCAGTTTTTAAAAATACTTTCAGACTTGGAGAATGGCTTGATAGAAAATAACCCTAAAAAGCCTTTTCATGAAAGTAGCTGAACCTGAAGTTGGTCACTCAGGCTTTGTCTCTATAGCAAAGGAAGGGAGATTTGAGCTTATTATCTGAGTAATTCAGGGACCCGGTTCTTCATGTCAACTCCCCACATCCTGATCCCAGAGCGATTGTTTGGGGAATGTGGGTTCATGAATGTCTTCTACTCTCCATTTCCCTTTGCTTATGTTACTATTGCTGGCTTGAGGACGGAATGTCATTTAAGAAATGAAATAAAGAATAACTAGGACATCTTGATGAGACCTTTTCTTTTTAAAATGAAGAAAGAAAGAAAGAAAGAAAGAAAGAATTAGCTTTGGCTAACCAAGAGAAATTTTACGAAGGGCTCAGATGGGGTGAATACAGTTCACTCCTATAATTTTTATTCCTTCACTATTATAGTCCGACAGCCAAGTGTCTGCTACATCTTTTCTGGGTGTTAAAGTTAGAGATTATACTTAAATATGTTACTGTTGGAAAATGGAAGATTGGGTCCTAAAGTTTCTCTGCATTTTTCTTGGAGTATCATTTCCTTCCCTGAGTTGATTCCCCACATTGTATTACACTGGCACCAGGCTTACATTTTTATCTGTTTTTCTTTTCCTCCAGAGAAAGTCCCCATGGAAAGCAGCTGAATTCAGCTGAGCAATTTTGCAAACTTAGTCGGCCTCCTTAGAATCATTCCTTCTCAAGCTAAATAGATTGCCACATCCTGAGAGTGTTCTCTTGTAATTAAATTGTACTTAGAATCGCACACAGATTTGGGTTAGGCTGACATGCTGGTGATGTCAAAGAGGGGTCTAGTTAGAAGGTCTTCAGATAACTAGCATGTATAGGGCTTTTTGAAATTGTCTTGCTAAGAAAAAAGATTTGCCTGAGTTGCAAAGGTATTATTCTGCTGACTTAAGCAATAGAAACAGGAGAGGGGGGAGACAGGGATGGTGGCGGCAGGAGCAACGGGTGGGGTAGGGAGTTGGGAAGAGAGACAAAGGTTCTGGGAGAGCAGCCGGTCAGAATTTTTATTGGTGTTAATCTTGAGATGGAAATTTTAAAAGTTAAGACCTAATATAATTTCAAAGGCAAACTATTATTTCCGCGTCCCAGTGGCAAACTCTGGTATTTAAAAAACTTGAGACAATTTTTCTTTTACTTCTTACTAATTTGATTAAATGTCTTACAACCTCATTGTGCCCATTGGCTGAAAGGTTTTTTTAGCATCTCTCAAGGATTTTTAACTTTTTGAGAATGGTAGAATCGTTCACTGAATAATCCACACATCCCTGCATGAGAGAGATGGACTTAAAATTTTTAAAAAATATCTGACTGTTTGTTGGTAATTCTGTAGAGTATCAGAGAGGGCAAGTGCACTGCGCAGAACCAGAAAGCAAATCTAAGACTGGGATGGTGTTAGGCCTTTGGGTCCCTGCTGCCACAGTGACTTTCTCTTTTCCCTAATCTGTCACCACTTTCGAATCAAAGGATGCTCAGGGAATCTCATAGCCTGTGCCCTTCTCAAACCTAAAAGAGACTCTGGAGATAATCTAGTCCAACACTTGAATTTTATAGATAAGCAAGGCAAATCCCAGCGGGGCGAAAGAGATTTGACTAAATCCATGCAACTGGTTAGTGACAAAGTTGGGTTAGACGCCAGAGCCCCGATTCCCACTTTACCCGTCCTTCTATTGTGCTGCATCGATCTTAAACTATACAGAAACTATCACGGGAAGGGCAACACTCGCATAAATTTGGTTATTGCTAACATTTATGACACATATTCTCCAACTGGTGTGGATGATAATGCTTTTCTTATAAGCCATGTCAAGGCTACATCTTTCACCAGCTCCTATTCATGGTGGACCACATGCTTGGATGAGCCGAGAGGTATTTAGAAGTCTGTGGTCCTGACAAGCAGCAGACAGGCAACACAGGGATGTGATTTTCCAGTGCTTCCAGCCACCCAGCCTCCCTTGCCCTTTTCATATTTGTTCTCTTTAGGTCCTACGGAGTCCTTCCCAACTGTTGTATTTGCTCTAGGGCCCCTTCTTTCTCTCTTCCTCTCAGATGATTCCGTAAGCATTTCGTGGGTATCTACCTGAAACCCAGCACTTTGCCAGTGGAACTCTTGGGACGCAGAGTTTGCAGGATGGGGCTTCCATGCCGAGTCCCATTTCTGTTCTGGACTTGTTGAAAATTATTGGAGATATCACTTTACAGCTCCCTGCCTCATTTTTCCCCCTATTTGACAAGGCACACCATAGTTCCTGTCTTCTTTCTTCATCTTTAGAAAATAATGGAAATGAATGAATGAATAAATGGTTACAAAGTACACTGAGTTCTCTGAAGAAAGATGTTATATAATTAAGGTTTATAGTAATCCAGGCAGCTACTTGGGGTCTTTTCCATACATTTTCCTCTCCCCTCTTCCTTCAAGTATTTGTTAAGACACAAAGATCTAAAAATATATGATAATAAATACAATAATAAAATCATTCATCACGGAGCTGGAGGTGACGTTCTGGATCTTAAAATCCAGTTGTCCATCATTCAAATTATAAATATAGCTCTCAGAAAAGTTGTGATTTGCTGAGAATGACCCAGTTTATAAGTCATAGAGGGAGAATTTGAATGAAGAGTCCGGGTTTCAAGTTTAGCGTTGCTTTTGAACATGGCCATACATTCATGCTCAAGTAGCTGATAGTTGAGCAGTTACCTAGGACGTACCTGTTTTTGTGAATGTTCTTACATTGTATGCTCATTGTGTTTCCTTGATTTTAACGCATTTCTCTTACTCTTTTGGCCCCTCCCCAATCTACAGTCGATGTTGCGAAAAGAAAAGTTGTGGCAACCGAAATGAGACTCCTTCAGACCCTGTCATCATCGACAGGTAGGGGGAAAAAGTGATTTTTAAAAAAAACTGTTTCTGGTTTCTTTCCTTTAGAATCTCAGCTCTGAGGGTGGATCACTGGGCTTTGCCGTAAGGTTGGTTTCATTTTATCTTCAAGGCTTGGAGCTGGTCCAACATGTGTTTTCTTGTTTTGGTTGGCCTTTCTTGGAAGAAGTCAGAACCTTCCTTTTTGAACATATGTCTCTAAATCTGTGATGGGATTATTTTCCAGGTGCACTGACTTCAGCCTAATAAGGCGTGTGTGGATGGTAAAAGATGGTAAAGGATGACATCTCTCCCATCTGGCAGGATAGGGTCTCAATCAGTTTCCTAGAAGAGGCAGTATATCCCAAGTTACGCAGTAACTTTCTTATCATTCTCCGTGATTGTGCTGTTGGGCTTGAAGACTGTCAAATTGGATTATGGTTTAGAGGATGATGACAAGCTCTCTGTTGCACTGAGGGAGATTCCTTTCTACCATAGAGGGTTGCATTCTGGGTTCTATGTTTTGTTCAGAGTGGGAAAGGTTCTTGGGACAAGATGCTAATTCATTGAAATGTGATTTCGGCATCCTCAGCTGTATGTTTTTGTGATTGGAAACAGAACTTACAAACCAATGAAGGAATACCAATTTAACTTCCAGCAATCATGTAATTTTTAAGAAATCCCATATTCCCACCCCTAATTTTTTTCTCTTTCGTTAAAAAACGGAATAATTCCCTCTTGCTTCTTTCTCTGGGTTTTTGTGTTTCTAGACAGGTCCTGAAATGGATTGGAGAGACCACAGTCTCCAAAGTTGTTATTCCAATATTCCAGCGAATTCTCAGTTGGGAGAATGGAACCTCTGGCATTCTTCCCAGAAAGCCAGCTTGCTTTCTTCGTGGAAAGTATAGCATAGCCCTAGGAATGAGGAGGCTGGAATTCTGATCCTGTCCTAGCTTCTGACCTTGGACAAAGCACTCAACATCTCTGTTCAATAGTATCGTGAAGGGTATACCTGGAGAGTATGGCCTGTTGCTGTAGGTTTCAGAAGGTAGCTAAAATATCCATGGCAGTTTTGCAGTATTCTCGGAGATCCTTGGAGGATGATGATAGACAAATAGAGAATGTTTGCTGGATGTATATGCTGCTGGTCTTAGGGGGTTCAGGTGACATCAATTTAGGGAGCTCTGGAATTTTTTTAGTTTTTCTGAAAGCGCACAGAAGCTTAAAATTAATGAGTTGTAAGAACTCTTGGGGGCCAGCTGTCTTTCTCATTTGATCGGTGAAAAGACTGAACTCGGGAACGGTGACACGACTTGCCCGCGGTGGCACAGCTGGTTGGAGCAGAGTTGGCCCTAGAACACAGCTGTCCTTACTTCTGGCCTGTGATCCTCTCACTGCCACAAACTTTTCCTCCCAGCACTCTCTGTCCCAATTTATGTGATCACACTTGACATGATTTCCCAACTTCCTAGGATGCACTTGGATCCTCTGGGGAATATGGAGCCCATGAGGGCAGCCTAGACACGGATGCTGTCCTTTCCAGTGTGTCCACTGAGCTCACTAATCTTCATCTAGTCTTTTTTTTTTTTTTTTAACTAACTTTAGCTCCTCTTTCAAGAGGGTACTCTAACCTCATGGTTGTTACATCTTTTCTTGTAATAAACAACCCATAAACCAGCTTTAGAAATGTTTACAAACCCGTAAATGCTAACCTGCACCTTACGTCTCATAAGCACACATCCTAAAGGCTCTGCACTTAGTAGCAGTTCTTTCTCTAAGAAACTATGTAGAACCTGAACTCAGGGAGAGAGCCGAACATGCTATACATAATACACATGTTAATGTACGTAGGCTTTTGGCATCTATGGAGAGAAAAGATTTTCAGGTTGTGTGCCTTCATTGTTTGTGCTAGAATGCTTTGAATTCTTCTGGGAAGGTGGAAATTGTATTTTAGCTGCGTCTTAAGGAGCTTTATGTGACTGTGGCATTTATTTTTACTAGCCTGTGCACAATAAAACAGCCCAGCGATGTCTCTGCATCACTTGAAATATGTGTTACTTCCGAAATGTTGTGCATCTACACATGGAAACATACATACCAAAGGGTGCTATAAATTGACCCGGATCAGATTTTTAGGGAACTCATCTTATTATAAACAGATGCGTTGGTTTGGCTTCTTCATTGTAGGGATTTTGTTTGAAGACACTGCTTGTTTCTTCACCGGAATCTTGCTTCTTGCTCCTGTCTTTTGGGCATTCCTTTGCCTTCTTCCCTTCATTTGTGGAAGGGAAAGGGGATTGAAGGCAGGGTTCCATTTGCCGGAGGTGGGATGGGTGTCTTGTGTCATCCAGGGCTTGAGCGGTGCCTCTGGTCCCTGGGTTCAACACCTGCCGGCTTAGAGATGTTGAGATGACCCATGAGAACCAAACGGGTGCTAAGTAGTCTATTTTGGAATTCCTCTGAGTAAATATATAACTCTCTTCTTTGCCCTCGTTCCTATAACGCCAACTAATTATCTCCTCCCCCTACTCGCTCCATCTAACCAGATGCAGTTAATTTACACTGTCTCTCTTTGAGTTTTCTCACGCAATAGGCATGTTCCACTCTGGCTCCAGGGAAGCCTGTTTATTCCCTTGGAATTGTGTATGTCCGGGGAAGGGGAAGGGGCGGATCAAAAGTGGTTCCCAAATATTCACCGCCAGGGACCCCTCTTTTTTTTTTCCTTCGGTGAGCCAGGTTCTGCAAGATTTTGCCTGCCAAGCTGCAATTAACAAGTAATAATCCAGCTGTAATTTCATTTTTATTAACTGAAGGTGTACAACAGAATGGGAAGGAAAACTCTCATTCCAGAAATGCCCTTGATCTCAGGACTTCCCTGGCGGTCAGGATGGTTAAGGCTCTGCGCTTCCACTGCAGGGGGCAGGGGTTCGATCCCTGATCGGGGAACTGAACTAAGATCCCACACGCCACACGCCGCAGCCAAAAGAAAGAGAGAAATAATTGAAAATTTAAAAAAAGAAATGCCCTTGACTTCATCAATGGCCAGTCAGAGTTTCTAATCTGGGCCAGAACCACCAGTGTTACCACACTAACTTGATAGACTGCCAGCTCAAACACGAAACAACTTGACTTTTCATTTAGCCCACGTGGCCATGTCTTGGGCAGACATTCCATCGCCAATAGGCTGTTTGAAATATGAAGAATAGCTTTCACAACCTCGTGGACCCTTAATTGAAAATCACTGGATTGTACAGTGATTAGCCCCAGACTGGGAATATTTTTCCCCCCTCTAAATGACTCCCTGCCTTAATCTCTCTAGAAACATAAATTTAATTTTTATTTTCAATTGTCTTTTCGGCATGCTTTTGTGAATTCTTGGGCAGCCACACCCCTCTCCAAAAAGCCAGGCCAGCACACAGCCCAGCAGGACTTGCTGCTGAATCAGGGGCCTCCAGCAGAGCCTTCCTTCTGTGTAGAAATGCGCGCCCAGAGCGGCAGTAGGGTTTATTCATTTTGAGGGTAAAAATTCAAAGTTCCTATCTGAAGAAAACTCAACAAAGCAGAACAAAACAAAACCAACAATGAAAACATAATCCATACCGAGGTCTTCAGCCTACACCTTGTGCATAAAGACCTCTGTGTGGTAAATAAAAATAAAAGGGCTCAAGCGGACTTACGTTTGTGGTTTCAGAAGGAAGTTCTAATTCAACCTTGTTTTTCATGGGCTGTGCTTTCTTTGGGCTCTGTTTTCTCTCTGAAACTTCTGAACAGCTACCGCATCTCTGGGCTCAGGAGAGTTTGGTGGTCCGTGGGAAGAGGGAGAAGGGAAACGAGTCTTCACCGTTCCTGTTCTTGCAGCCCCATGAAAAGTCAGATGGGAGGAGGGGCAAGAGTTCTTTCTGAATCTTTGAAGGCTGCCCCTGCCCGTGTGCACACAAGTATGATATTTTCTGTCAAAGGGCAGCTCCAACCTGTCTCTCACATGCAAAATATCCCAGACTTTTGTCTTCGGATCCTGGACTCCTATATTTATGAGCTCAGCTTCCAGAAGGACTGTTTTAAGTTTCCGTAATTTTTGTTTATTTTATTTTTCAAGAAGCCAAACGAGCAACAGAATGATCTTCATTCAGAAGGTTTACGCAGAAATACCTGGTATTTATTTGCCCATGAGGCGTTTTCCTGATATTATCTCCCTTTAAAAAAAATTTTTTTTTTTAAATTGTGGTTATATAACATAAATTGACTATCTTAACCATTTTTAAGCGTACAGTTTAGAGGTATTAAGTACATTCACCTTGCTGTGCAACCATCACCAGCATCTGTTTACAGAACTCTTTTCATCCTCCCAAATGGAAACTCTCTCCCCATCTCCCCCTCCCCCCAGTTGCTGGCAACCACCATGCTATTGATACTTTCTCTATGAATTTGACTCCTGTAGGTACCTCATATGATACTGTATTTGTCTTTCTTTGACTGGTTTATTTCACAGCACGATATCCTTAAGTTTCCTTAATGTTGCAATATGTATCAAGATTTCCTTCATTTTTAGGGCAGAATAATATTCCATTGTCTGGTTGTACTACCTTTTGTTCTGTTTGTCTGTCAGTGGACACATGGGTTGCTCCAACCTTTTGGCTACTGTGAAAAATATTGCTATAAATATGGATGTACAAATATCTCTGCGAGTCTCTGTTTTCAGTTCTTTTGGGTATACACCCAGAAGTGGAACTGCTGGATCACATGGTAGTTCAGAGAACCATCATGCCATGTCCATAGCAGTTATGCCATTTTACATTCCCACCAGCAGTGCACAAAGGTTCCATTTTCGCCACATCCCAAATTACTTGATATTTTCTTGTTTAGTTTAGTGGTTTTTCTTTTTCTTTTTTCTTTTTTTTATAGTTGCCATCCTAATGAGTATGAGTTTTTTCTTTTTTTAGTGAAGCTTTCTCCTGCTACCATCTTGGAAGGAATCCTCACCTGCTGCTTTCCCCCACTCTGGTCCAGGTTTCTTG